TGCAACGTGCAAATAGTGCTTGATCTGTGAAAGTGTCAGCACACTTCATCCACTTCAGCTGCAGTGCCTCCTCACCTCCTTTCTCCGACCCCAAAGGGCCAGAAAGCCTTCAGGATCACCTTGGATCCTTCTCAATAGCTGCTGATATCACTCCACCTCCAGTATCTCTCCACTATAACCTCCAGGTCCCTCTGATAAGGTATTCTGCAGAATATGTATCTCACCACACCAGTGAGCAATAAAAGAGATCCTCCATAGTGTAGTATTTTTCAATGAGCTAACAATCCTTTATTCAAGTTATATGAAATACACTCACATAAATTGCAGTCCCCTTCCTCTCCTGATGTGTGGGTGTACTCCATGCGTGCAGTACTTCCTAGGTGTGCCAAGATGGCGTCCAACACCGGAAGTGCATCACCGCGTACCAGAAGCTGCGTATCGGCGTACCTATGCGTTACGTCACTGTGACTCGTGACTTCCTCAGGGTATGCTGTGCTGACACTTTCACAGATTAAGCACTATTTGCATGTTGCATGTATGTATGAAACAATTATTAATTCATATATGGACTATCAGAGTGTTCAGAGTGTTTTTATGTGATTTGAAGTGGCACTATCACGTTTTTGTTTGTATTCCCATATTTAAGGGTCCTTATTTATTATTATTGATTTGTTTACGTCACTTGGGTAACCTTAGCAATATATTCATTTGTCACATGATTATGTGTTTATTTATAATATTGTCATCACTTTCACTAGTCATATAGGTGACTGAGGCACTTTGTTTTTTGGCACGTTGAGTGTTTTATTTAAGTGTTATATTTATATTATTTAGAAGCGCTATTTCTTATATTATTTATACACTGGTTTGGTATCAGCTCAGAGTGTTAGCGGCTATTTATTAGGGTTCACTTCCTTTATTAGCGCAGGAGGATTTTGTTGCCTTTAATTTTAGTTTCTTATTAATTATTTATTTTTATTTATTTTAAATAAATGTTTATCTTATTTTATGGAATTTTGTAAAGGGTTTACTGCTTGTTGTGCCTAGGGGATAATGACTGAGGCTTTCTCCATGCTGTAAGGCTAGTCCCCTAAAGACGCTTTTCTTTGGTGCCCAACCGGTCACAATTCTCTGACTTCATCCTATACTCTGCAGGACAAGCAGTCCTATGTTCCATGTGAGATCACCAAGGGCCCACCAACACCACAGGATGCTGGGGAATGGAGGAGCATGCCAACTGCTGGGGGAATGAGGCATAGGGGGGACCCGCTGCAAGGGTAGTTTTTTTTTTTTTTTTTTTTTTTTTTTCTGTCTGGAGTTCAGCTTCACGTTTGTGGGGTTTGTTTTCTCTCCTTCTTCTTCTTCTTTTTTTTATTTATTTTATTTTTTTAATATTTTTGAAGAGTTATAGGAAGTAGAATAAGGAGCCAGCAGTCAAAGCTCAGAAAGAGTAATTCAGTCATTACATTTGCGAATATTCAGCAAACCTCCTTTTGATTTTCATGTTTTAAGCTGCTGACTGTCTGCATTCACTGAAGTGTTGCGTGAAATTGTGAGACGCACAGACGACCACAAGCTAATTATTTCCCAACACCCCCCCACTCTATTAAAATTCTGCATGGCTGTGTCGTGTAATCAGAGATTTTCTAGCAATGTGGGAGTGTGGAATTTGGCATAGAAAATATCCTTTCATGCTGCGTTTATAATGTGTAGATTAATCCCCTTAGCCTCCATTGGAAGCCCATGCTATAGGGCCCATTTATAACTGGTGCAAATTATTTTGTTTTTATCTCTTATGGAATGTATACATTCCAACAAAAATGGCTATTTAGGCCTCATTCACATATGTTCAGGGAGCCAAACCCTGTGAAAACGAGCATATTTTCTGTGTGTAGGAGTGCGAGCCGCCTGTACAAATCGATGACAGGTTGCGGCTGTATGCTGGTAACCATGTATCTGAGCATTAGCCCTTTCGCTGCCAGAGCCGAGTTTAAATTTTTTGCACACATTTAAAAATAATCACAAAACCCCTAAATAGTATATATTTTCTGAACGCAGACACCCCAGAGAATAATATAGTGGTAGTTCCAATTTTTTATGTCAAACGATATTATCACAAAGGTCTAAGAATTGCAAAATATCAGTAAAAATCAAACTAAAGTGAATTTTAGAGCAAACAAAAGCAATAAATTACCCACACATTTGGTAAACTATTAAAGACTCGATTGCCCCGAGTAAATAGATACCCAATATGTCAAACCTTTAAATTTGTGTGCACCCGTGAAATGGCATTAAGCTTCAGTACCCTGTATTTTCTATAGACGACACTTCAAAAGCCCCTACAGGTCATCAGTTTATCATTATGGAGGAGGTCTTGTGCTAGAATTTTTGATCTCCGCTGTGCGCGTTGATATGTGAAACGTATATCGCAATCTACGTTTTCATGCGTAGGCATTCCTGGCGCGTGCATTTATGTTCATATGTCCATATATGTAAGGGTGGCCCGACTGCTTCCAGCTGAAAGGCATGAGTCTGTCTGTCAGTTTTGTACACAATCCCCGTGGCTGCAGCCACTGGATTGTGTGTGTAAATTCCCTCGCTATCAGGTCCATATGATGTACAGACCTGGCGGCAAAAGGGTTAAAGCTGCCCATACAATATAAGATTTTCTTCAATTTCCTTCAGATTTACACTCAAATATGTAGTGCAACAGCCTGTCTGATTGCATACAAATTGTTTTGGTATATTATATGATTTTGGAAAATTCAAAGGAAAATTGTACAAGAAAATTGTATAATGTATGGCCAGCCAAAGGCTTCATTCAGATGTGCAGCCTGGGGGCAGTAAAACCAAGCATCTTGCTATGGGGGTCACTCGGTGGGAGGGTCTGGAGTAGCTAGGACCGTTGGTGCGGGACCACAGAAGAAGTTTGGGGCTGCTCTGTGCAAAACCATTGCACAGAGCAGATGAGTATAACATGTTGGTTATTAAAAAAAAAAAAAAACAGAACTGTTGTATCCTCCTGCTATTTATAGGCATTCCCATACATTCCATAGAATCTCTAAGGTATTCCTAATTTTTTATTTGTAGTTTCCATATGCAGTTTTTTATAAACTCACTCAAGGTTTTAGATCTTTCCATATATTCATTAATACACAAATGGCAGAACTTTTTCCCTATATTCTTTATTTTTCTTCTCTATTTTTTTTTTTTTTGTAATTTTATCTTTTCTCCATTTTAGACTGTGTTTACACTAATGAGGTGCGGGACATTGCATGTAATTCACACAGGAATCATACCACTTTCCTGTGCGAATTACATGCAGTGTCTGAGAGATGCGATTTGAGCCATACATTTTTTTGTGTGGCTCAAATCACATTGCATCCATACCAAAAAGGTGCAGGACCCTTTTGTTTACCCATACCTGAATCGCATTGCATGGGTGTTCTCACCCATCTGATGCACTTTCTGGCAATTTCATCACGTTTACGATCTGTTTTGGAGTGTCATTAATTCAACATTGACACCCACATCAGATAGCATGAATGCCATACGATTGCATTGCGGTGCGGGAAACGCACAGGATTTGCAACGTATCCTGCACCGCATCAGTGTGAACCCAGTCTATTAATTGCTATTTTGAAGAGTGTAATAGCACTTTAGTTATTTCAGGTACTTATAAAGCGCCGTCAGTTTACATACATTCACATCAGTCCCTAACCCTCAAGGGGCGTCCAATCTGAGGTCCCTAACTTACATTCATTCACACACATACTAGGGCCAATTTAGACAGGATCCAATTCACCTACCAGCATGTCTTTGGAGTGTGTGAGGAAACCGTAGTACCCGGAGGAAACCCACGCAGATACAGGGAGAACATGCAAACTCCAGGCAGGTGGTGCCATGGCTGGGATTCGAACCAATGACCCTAGTACTGCCAGGCAGAAGTGCTAACCATTTAGCCACTGTGCTGCCCTGATTCTTATTGTTTGCACATATTGTTATACTATTTGCTTACTTTCTTCTTAATAGGGTATATTGGTAAACATTTTCTTATTTCTACCTAACATATATTGAACTTATGTACGTTCTATTTTTATATTGTTCTAGATATCTTAAGGTTTCTTCTCCAACAGCTTAGATAGTTGTTGAATTGAGCTGTAGCGCAGGTAATTAATCAGTATTAATAAGTTTATTTTATTGCAAAAGGGACAATGCATGTCGTGGTTTTTTTTTTTTGTTTTTTTGCGATGATGAGCCTACCTGTATATAATTTTATTTATTTTAAACTTTAGTTTTGCTTAAGGCTCCATTCACACTTTTGTGACTTTGATCCAACTTTACACTCTCTGGATCCTATTCGCCTCAAAAGTCACATCAAAGTAGTGCAGGCACCTCACTGCAACTTTAGGTGGGTGTATTTCTTACATTTTTGCAAGAGGTGGGTTATGCCTAAACTACTGATGTTTTCGGAACACCCAATTTACTAGCACCAAGATAACGTCAAGTAGTGTGGTGGAAAGGTGCACTACAGCTAGGCCTGAATTGGGATTGGGGGGTGATAGATCCCCTTGGTAATGAGTTGCTTCTTGTACACATTTCAGGACATGATTTTTAACTTTGACAGGAGTATATCATTCAGATTACCTCCTGAATGCCTATATAGTCTTTAGGCAATCTGTAGAACTACATGTCCCAGCATGCCTTAGCAGTTTGTTGTTGTTTCGTCTGTAGGGTGTTACGAGAGCTCCCAGCTGCAGGAAGTTACAGAACCACATAGAAAACTGAGTTGGTTGCAGACAGCTTCTGAAAATATGTGTCACTTCCATCCCATTGTCCTTTCTAATGCTTGTGAGTGCTGGTAATAATCGTAGTGCCATGGAGCAGGTGACAGACGATGGTAATGAGCCAGGGGAAGTCTTGTGCATAATTCAGATGTGATTTAAAGCACAGGAACTCTTGTGGGGAACTGCCAGTGACTTTCAGATCTTTGTTTACAGGAGGGCCAAATATGTGGGCGATCACTACAGAGGAGCGGGCCAAACACGACAAGCAGTTTGCCAGCCTGAAGCCAATAGGTGGACTGATTACCG